TGCAATGTTTCGTCAAGATTTCTTCTAAGAGGTGGAGCATAAGGAGGTGCATATCTATGAGAATTTTGGAAATTGTGGTGTGCTTGAAATGGTGGTTGTGAAGTTTGTACATTGTTATTATCACTCTTCCAACTAAAATTTGGGTGATTTCTCCAACCAGGATTGTATGTTTGTGAGTATGGGTTGTGGTTGACCCTTTGGAAACTGTTTAAAGCATGGGCTTATTCATGGAGACATTCCTTAAAATAAGGTAAGGTTGGATAGTACTGGTTGAGTGTTCATTTATTTGATATATTTGACACACAATGTTTTCAACAGATTTTAATTGATCACTCTTTTTCAATTTTAGTGCCTCAACTTTTCTAGCTAAAAATGCAAACTTGGCTTGAAGGTCATGATCTTCCTTAGGTTGTACATACCGTCACTAGGTGTATGAGGATACCCTATAAAGTCTACCACTTAATGTATGTGATCACGCTCTCATGTTATATTAAGTGTTATACAATATAAATCAAGATTAGTCATTTAACAAGCAAAGTATTAAAGAGTGAACAAGATAACAAATACAAAACATGTTAGCATCAAACATTAAAGTCCATATTAAGTTTACACTAATTCTTACACCATTAGTGTAACTTTTTCACCTTGACATAAATAACTTAGCTAGACATAATGAAAGAAAGAAAAATAATGTAACCTTTTCACCTTGACATAATAAACTTAGCTAAACATAATAAAAGAAAGAAAAATAAATAAAATAAATAAGAATATAAAATAAGATAAAAGTTAACCAAGTAAAGGAAAGGAAATGAAAGGCATAAACTTGATATTAATGAAAGCAAAGCATAAACATTACAAAAAATACAAAGAGAGAAAGCAAGAGCATGATCTTGATCTAGAACGCAAGATGCCTAAATACATGGCAAATGCCTCATTTTATAGGCTAAAATTAGAAACTATTGATTTGATGACTAATTGATGAGTGGGTAACCAACTCTTGACTTGGTGACAATCCTTATCTTCTCTTGTTTGCCCAAAACGTCATTGATAATGTCAAAATTAAAACCACTTAAAAACATGAAAGTTGTAGGAAATTGTCTCAGCTTTCGTGTGTAAAAACTTCAGGTCATTTGGACTTCTAGAACTCCAGATATGGGTCAAACACTGAACAATGCTCGGGCAGGAAGATAGATTCAGACTTCTTTATTATTGCTCCAATTTGGACTTGAAAATGATCTTTTTAGATTTTGGACTCATATGAAAGTTGTAGGCCTATATCTTATCTTTCCATCCATATAAAGTAGACCTAAATATGAGATCTACAACTTCAGATATGACCCAATTACTGAACATTGTTCCGGTTTGGATTACACCGACATCTCTTTTCTAAGTTTGACCATCTCTTTGTCCTTTCAATTTCAATTCTTAAATTCATCAATCAATCGTTTCTTTTATATGATAGGCCTACATTTAAAATGAACATTTACCATAAATTAAAGGTATCTTATATTATTAGATATGTTATTATAAAACATGCTTTAGTTAAGGAGTTATTGATACTTCAAGTGCAAAATGATGATATAAAACCTACATAAAAATGTATTTTTAAGTACTAATCAAACACCATCATGGTCTAACGATAGAAACCACCATCATAGCCACCGCATGTTTCCCCTCTCCTTTACTGTTTTTGGTTTCTTCCCCCTATAACCAACATTGGCCATCATTTCCTCCACTGAAGCCTTTTGAGGGTCGAACATCCTGACCACTACCACAACCCCTAAGCTAAGTAACCTTCCCCTCTTTTCTTCCTCTTCTTCTTTTTCCCCTTGCAGGGTCATCGCCTGCGTGCATAACAAGAATTCATTCTGCATGCAGGGGGGAATAATTAAACCCTTTGGAGGCCAAGCTAGACCTGTTGCATCCTAGCTTATAAGGCTAGGCCAAGTTTAGCCCGTAACCCCCAACAAAAAAAGAAAAAAAGAAAGAGAGGAGCCTAGATCTGGTGGGCTGCTGCTGGCCCAACTCAACTAAGTCCGACCCATTTATTTAATAATAATATTGTATATTATTAAAAAACAAAAAAAATCCTAGGGGCATTTCAAAATGTTTTTGATTTTCTTGCGTGTTTTTCTACCAATTTTATTTAATAGTTGGTTGTATTTTTGCACTATGAGATACAAATATGTTATTAGAATACCCGATTTTCTTCAAAACTTTTCTTAAAAAAATAAAATTAAAAAAATTCTCAAGGATTTTAAATTAATTTTCCCTTTTCAAAAATAAAAAAAAAAATTTTGTTTTCATGCATTTGGCCATACTCCACATAATTTTCCAAGCATATTTTTAAAAACAAAAACAAAAACAAAAATATTGCATTTTTATCATGTAAAAAAGCAAAAAATGGATATTGTAACCATTTTATGATTATTCATTAGAATTTGGTTAAAATATCAAAAACCATTTACTAATCATTTTGTTCATTTTTATATTAAGTTTTAGATGTAAACTTTAAATGTACAACTACATAATAGAATACACCTTTAAGTATTAAAAATACAAAGTGCAAAATAAATATGATGTTGAAGTTTAGACTTTAAAATGATTAAGACTTCACCCAATAAGATAGAGATTTTCTCACGAAGAAAGATTTGCTTTAGACCTTAGAAAAAGACCAATGGATAGGAACTTAACCTATAAAAACAATCAAATAACTATGAAGCCTACTTTACATAGGATACACTAAGAGTGATGAATCTTTTCCCTGCACAACTCGTTTTTTACTCTAACTCTCGTAGAGCATAGGTTTCTAGTAACTATAACATTAGGTGTCGACTCCTGAACCTTAATAATAATTTTATAATTAAACTCAAAACCTTTTTCTTTCCTAATAACACGTCTCTTATGGAGGCACATATGAGATCCTTCTATATAGATCAAAGGGCTAAGATTTGGCACAAGTGGAGACCAAACATCCCTCTTCCAATTGTTATAAATAGATGATGATTTCATGTCTTGAAGGAGGAGAAAATTTATTCCAAAATTGATAAAAAGACCATTATACTCCTTAGTTTTTTCCTTCCCAGTCATCAGTTCTCTCTTTTCTTTCTTACTCTCCGCCATTGCCACCACCTTTTACATCTACCAAAGACAACTACCAATAGACCAGCTCCTCCTCCTCACTATCATCATGGTCCAAGGACAGAAACCATCACTGCAACCATCGCATGTTTCCCCTCTTTTTTTGTAGTTTTTGGTTTCCTCCCCCAACAACTGACACTAGCTACCATTTCTTCCATCGAAGCCTCTTGAGCCACCAGTTGAACATCCTCACCACTGTTGTGACCCCCAAGCCAAGTAACCTTCCCCATTTTTCTTTTCCTTTTTCTTCCTCCCTCACTGCAGGGTTATCGCCTAGATTCAGTGCAAGAATTCATTCTGCATGCAAGGGGAAAATGATTAACCCCCTTGAGGTCAAGCTGGCCTATTTTAGTCCAGCTCATAAGGCTAGGTCAGGTCTAGCCCAACAAAAAAAGAAGAAAAAGAGGAGCCTAAATTTGGTAGGCTGTTGGTGGCCTAACATGATGGGCTGCTAATTGGCCCATTCTGGCTGGGTCCAACCTAGTTAGCTGAGCTGACTCGACCCATATATTAATAATAATATAATTATAATAATATAATATTATATATTATAAAACAAAAAAATTCAGAAAAAAATTCAAAGGGCATTTCAAAATATCTTTGATTTTCTCGTGAGCTTTTCGACTAATTTTCCTTAATATTGGGCTGTATTTTTATACTGTATGATACAAATCTAGTATTAAAATACCTAATTTTCTCTATTTTTTTTTAAATTAAAAAAAATCTCAAAGTTCTTAAATTAATTTCCCATTTTTTTTCATCATATGACTATATTCTAAAAAGTTTTCCAAACATATTTTTTCATAAAAAAGTAAACATATATTTTCATAAAAAAGTGCATCTTTCTCATATTTGTTTTTTAAATGGATATCATAACCAGTTTATAATTATCTGTCGGAGTTTGATCAAAATATCAAAAACCCTTCATCAATCATTTTGTTCATTTTATATTAGAGTTTAAATGTAGACTTTAATAACTTTGAAGTGTAAAACTATACAATAAAGTATACCCTCTGATATTAAAGATATAAAGTGTAAAATAAATATGATGCTAAAATTCAAATTTTAGAACTGTTAGGATTTACTTTATATCTTAGACGAGACTAATGAATAGAAACTTGAACTAAAAAAAATCAAATAATAATGCAACTTACCTTAGATAGAGTGCGCTAAAAGTGATTTATCTTCAATCTAATATATTATTATTTTACTATTTTTTTTAATAAAAAATATGCGATATTGAAATTTGTTTTTGAAGCATTTAGTTTATTTTGAATTGTTTTTGATGATATGTTTTGTTTTAGTTTATGTGATATTAGTTTTGTTCTAAGTTACTTTTTATAAGATTATCATGGTTTCATGATCTAGAACTATATTACATAATTTAACAAATCAACTTCGATTAATTTAATATGTAACTGTTTCAATATTCTTTTAAATATCATTTTGATTCTTTTACTTCTGATTTATTTTCTCCCTACTTTGTAGGTTTACTTATATATATATATATATATATATATTATCGCACATTTAGATAATTGTTTTAAAAACTATTAAATTTAATAAAATTTATAATTTGAATTATAAATTTAGTGAGTTAGGTTCAAAATCTAGATCGATTTAATGTATTCCTTAAAGAGATGCTATATTAAATTTTTTTAATAATTTGATTTATTTTGAATTTATCTTCCAAATTTAATCGTGGTGTCTTTTTTAATAGATGCTATTTTTTTTAGTAGATGGTGTAAAATAACTAATAGACTATTAAATTATAAAGGAATTTAAAAGTATCAAATCGAGATATGGAGTTATGAAACCAATTAATAAGTTTTTGTTAAACCAGAGGCAGTCACTTACAAGTGCTTCGTGGCATTTCGTTGGGTGTGGTGAGAGAGAAAAAGAAGAGAAGGAAGATATAAAGGTTTTCTTTATCAACAAGAGAACAGAACAGCATTCAGAAAGCAAGAAAGCATAGAGGACAGTGAGTATGAGGGAGATCCAAGATAGCAAGAGAGAAGGGCGGGTGGGGATTTCTTTGAAGAAATTGTGGTGGCTGGATCACTTTGCCTTTGTTTCTTAAGCAGAAGGCTTTAAAAAGAATACGAAGAGAAAAGAGCATTTAGTTCAGATCATTTTCGGTGCCCTTTTTGCTTTCTCTTGCACTCTCCTTCAACTCGTCCTCTTCAATTGAGAGTTGTATTGCAAAGAAGAAGAAGAAATTGTCCTTTCTCAACTGGAGATGGAACGAATTCAGGGATCAGAGGAGGTTTCTTATCTCTCTATTTTTCTTATTATGTTTCTTTCTTGTGCATTGTCATTGCAACATCAATTTTTTTTGAATGGAGTAATGTGCTTGGATGAGATGTGAATTCAATTTGCAATTTACATTATGCTCATTAAAACGCCTTAAAGTCATCAAAGCGTCTATTTCCCAGGGAGACATCATGCTTGAAGCAAACAAATTATATAGTCTATCATACAATGCAGCTTTAAGAGTGAAGTAAATCTGTAAAAAAAAAGAGAGAGGAAAAAGTATCATACAGCGAGCACCACCTATTAAACAAATAATTGTGCTGAAAACTTACTTCGTTGTTTATGTAATTCTAAAGTTTAGCTCGTGAAAACATATTTAGAAGAGATAAAACTAGAAACATGGGCACAATTTTAATCAATGTAGCTCAGAAACAAATATATTATAATAAGTCTTGAGCTTATCAATTTGAGTGAGTATAGGAAGACATTATAATACATGAAAAAAAAAAAAAACATAATTTTGACATGCATATCAAACAAATATGCTAAGTTAGGGGAAGAATCGGGTAGATTGTTACTGCTTGTGGTTGTTGTTAAGAAAAATATATAGCATTGTTTAAATGACATCAAAAGATTTCCACTCCCTCCCTGAAGATGTTAAATCCGAGTATCATTAGTTGGTATTAGTCCACAAACTTGGAAATTCGTTTGATACCCTAAAGGAGTTCTAATGGATAGCAATATATGTTTTAGGAAATATTTAAGCGGTAGCTTGGCCTAATTCTGCTTTACATGATATCTTATGACTATCAATTACCTAAATCTAGAAAAAGAAGGTTCATTTCAAGACTAGGCATAACGAGGCAGGTCTGGACATTTATTTTACACCAGATTCAAGGAAAAAAGTTTAAATTCAATTGAAAAAAAGAATTACGCTGGATAGTTTTTACTCCTATCACTAAACGGTATTTATACAGGAGACGTATCAATCATTTAGGTAAGTCAACTATACAATCGAATAGGTTACAATTAGGAGCGAAAAGTTAGGTTAAAATCAGCTTACCAATTTACTGCAACCAGCTAATTAATTGACAGTTGTGTACATGTAATATATATTAGCTCTCCTCTTCAAGTCGGTGTACAGATATCATATATGCCCAATTTGGATAGCAACACATGGAAGGGACCACTAGTAACAACATTACTCATTATGTCAGCCAACAAATTCACACTCTTAATATAAGTAATCTCAACTACACAAGAGTCTAGATTGTCTTTAATGCAACCCCTATCAAGTTTAATATCCTTTATTTGATCATGCTGAACTGGATTATTGGTGATCTCAATAGCAATTGTGTTCTCACAAAAGAGTACCATTGGTTTTCTTAGGTTGTACCCAAGTCACCCAAGAGAATTTTAAGCCAAGTAAGTTATGTAATCGCATGATGGAGGGCACAATACTCTTTTTCCACACTAGATACTGATACCACATTTTGGGTTTTTTTGCTCCAAGTTACTAAGTTACCTCCCATATGTGTGATACATACTTTTAGAGGTAGATTTTTTTTTTTTTTCTAATTTGGATCCAGCAAAATCAGAATCAATATATCCCACAATATCAAAGTGGTAATGACAAGAGAATGTAACATCTTTATTTTGAGAGGATTTTAGGCAAGCCAAGATGTTGGGAGAACATAACACCTTTACCTGGAGAGGATTTTAGGTGAGTCAAGATGCGATTCACTGCATCCATGTGTTATTTACTTGAACTATACATGAATTGGCTCATAACAATAACCACATATGATATGTCAGGTCTTGCTCAATAGATCAACTTCCCCACCACTATTTGATACCTGTTTTTATTCATTAGAACTTGATTCAGGAGAAAGCAAGACCATGGTTCATCTCAATAGGAGCATCCACAGGTTCACAAGGCAGAGTTATCAGTTTTGGTTAGAAGGCCTAATATGTATTTCCATTGAGACATGGAGAGTCTTTGCTTGGATCAAGATACTTCAATGCTCAAGAAATATTTCAAAGTTCTGAAGTCCTTCATCTCAAATTCCTTGGCCAATTAGTTTTGAAGCTTCCAGAATAAAGTCTAATAGGCCAAGGCTTGCTTAAAACCACACTACTTCATTCGCTCAACATGTCAAACCAAGCCCACAACATGTCAAACCAAGCCCACAATGATTGATGAAAACCACACTTCTTCATTGGCTCAATTTGTCGAACCAATCTCTTGATGATTTCTCTAGTCCATGTTGTTGATCTGTGAGATAATCTTTTGATCAATTATGCTACCAATTAATAGTTTCTACCTTTTTAAGGAGGAGAAACTACCTTATAAGAACTTAATCCCAAGAGAATGCTGGTAGCAACCTCTCAAAATCAAGCAGAATGTGGAATACCAAGATTTTGGAACTTCAAAAAAGGTATATCTACTCCAAACAACACCAAGTGTAGAAAGGAAAAGGAAATAATTGAAGTGATTTTAAAGTATAGGAATTAAAGAGAATAGTAAATAAAGTTGTAAAGAAAAACAATAAAAACTGAAAGAAAGATAAATTTTCTATTTGATCCTATTTATATCATTAGAAGACATTAGAGTTCTATGTAATATCTTAAACCTAATCCCATACAGGTTGTCCATATCAAATAAATAGTTGATATGATGAATCCTAAGACAAACTGTATTCTAACTAAATCATAGCTTCTTTTTTGATAAACATTCGAACCCTAACCTGTTAAGTAACGCTAGCTAACTTTACATGTTGAGGACTCATGTTTTGCATAAGCCTGGACACAAACCTTGTTTTTGTGGTTAATTGCTTTACCCTAGTCTCCCTTGTCTCTGATCGATCATACTATTCACGATCGATTTCAGCTTATCTTTCCCTATAAAAAAGTGAACAATTAGAGTTGTTAGATGGCCGACTAGTGGATTTTTATTTTAATTGTAAACACATACAACACCTTTTTCCATCTTGCATACTTCACCTCCTTCTGGCATTAATCCTAGAGGAGGTTCCATATACACCTCCTTTATTAGATCATTAGATCATCATGAAGAAAGGTATTCTTCACATCAAGTTGTTTAATGACTATTCTATATTACATACAAAAAAGAGCTCTAGCTGTGTTCATCTTAGCCATGGGAGTAAAAGTCTCTATCAAGTCAATCCTACTGGTCTGAGTTTAACCCTTAGCAACTAGTCTAGCCTTGTACCTATCAATGGTCCTATATGACTTGTACTTCATCGAAAACAACCATTTACACCTCATTGCTTTCTTTTTTGAGGTTGCTTGACCATCTCCTAAGTAGAGCTTTTTTGGAGTGCCTTCATTTCTTCAACCATAGCAGACTTCCACTTAGGGTCTCCAAGAACTTCCAAAAAATGTCTAGGAATAGACACAGAGGACAATTGAAGGTCAAAAGATAAGTGAAACTTAGACAAGATAAGTGAGACTTAGACAAATGATGATAAAAGATAAATCAAACACGGGATAAATGACATTAGAAGATTTGAAAAATCAAAATCTATTAGTCTCTTTACAGACATGAAGGGGATATATCTTTTTTAACCACTAATTTGCGAATATGAGTAGGCGGACTTTAAAGATACATGTTGTGAATCTATAGAAGAAGGGACACATATCTCAAGGTCAATCTTGTATGAGTCAATTGATGATATGCTAATATCATTAAGTAGAGTACTGGAGTCAGAATATGGTATGGTAATATCATCAAGTGAAGCAGAGTAATGGAGTCAAAATGAGGTGGAGGCTTGACAAACATTTTAGTTCCATCTTGTACAACCTTTTTGGAACAATTGAGCGGACTTTCATCCATACCCTCTTCAAGTTTGGATACAACTTCTTTTATAGGATCAGAAGAGATCTCCCCCTCACCCATAATAGCTTGCTACTTCCCCTCACCATAAATGTTCTTCTTTCTTGCCAACCATAAATGTTCTTCTTGCTACTAATTTCTCCTGGAAGAGGAACAAAAGACACATTCCCAGAAAAATAAGACACTTTTCCATAGAGCTGAATGTCTATGGAAATGTAGTATTTATCCATAGATGATGAAAATACTTATATCCTTTGGAAATTAGAGTAATCTAGAAAGACAACAAAGGACATGGGGTTGGAGCTTATCCCTATAAGAGTGAATATGAACATAACACAGCCAAAAATCTTAGGACAAAGATTGGGAGAAGGAATAGAGACAAAATCCTTAAAGAGGTTTAATAGTCATAATACATGCATGCATTATTTAACGAGGAAGACACAATCATGACAAAATCGGCCAAGAAACATTTAGGAACATGCATAATAAAACATAATGTCCAAGCTACCTCTAAGAGGTGTCGGTTCATAGATTATGCTATGTCGTTTTGTTGTGGTGTGCAAGCACACTCTCTAATAGAGGATGTAATGAGTCTTGAAGAAATCAATAAAAGATTGATTCACAAACTCATGATCATTGTGAGAATGAAAGACGAACTTGAGTATGAACTTGTGTGACAATCATTTTGTAAGATTGAGTAATAACATGGATAACATTACTCAGATTTTAGTAAATATACCCAACTTACCTTGGTCCAATCATCAATAAAAGAAATAAAACGTTTATGACCTAAGTAGAAGGGGTAGAAAAAGACCCCAAACATCAGTATAAACACATGGAAAAGGATTTGGACTTTTATTGTAACTGACTTTAGAAGGAACACAATGATTTTTAGCGGAAATGCATTATTCACATCGTAAGCTAGAAACAAGAATATCATGAAATAAATGTTCTAAGTAGGCAAATGAAGGATGACCCAAAGATTTTTCCTTGTAAGACTTCCCTTTCTTTACTTGAAGACAGTGGCTAGACTTAGAATGTAACGCCCAACTCTCTCCCTAATAAAGTGATGCAGGAGGTTTTTAAGAAAAAAATATTTTCTTTAGTTATTTTTCTTTATTTTTATTTAGTTTAGGAAACTAAATATTATACTTAAGAATTTTGTTTTTCTTAGTTTATCTAGGATTTTTATTGCTTTTCCTTTATTTTTAGGTTTTATAGTTTTTTTAGGTTGGTTTTTGAGTTTACTTAAATAGTTGTAAATCTCTTAGAGAGGGAGACTACTTGAAAAGAAATATTTAGTGATAAAACTTCAAATTAGGGTTTATGGTGTGATCCCTTACAACAAGATTTTATGTTGCTTGTTCTTCTTGTCTTTCTTAAATTGTTTTTGTCTGTGTCACAATGCTAGTCATCATCTTTGGGAGATTGTCCAGAAACACATAGTCGGTAGAATAAAAGATTGTGAAACTGTTAAGATGTTCGGTAATCTGGCTAATAGAGAGAAGTTTATCAGAAAGTAGGAGTAAGTAAAATAGAAGACATGGAGAGTGTGGTAAAGAGTGAGACATTCCCGACTCCAGTAATTAGCATGGAGTCCCATTAGCAACCAGAATAAACTTGACTAGTGGAGATGTTAATGAATCAAATAAGGAAGAATTGCTAGTCATATGCCCCTGAGTCAGTAACCCAAGTGTTACTAGTAGAAGAAATAAGAGCTAAACTAGAATTACCTCCTTGAGAAAAGATACGTGGAAGGCAAAAGATTGAGATGTATCAGCAGCCACAATCTAGGAGGACTTCTTGTTTTTTTCTCTTAGCGTGCTTAAGCTTAAACTACTCTAGATAGCCATGATTTTTCCAGCATCTCACACATCCTTTTCCAAGAAGCGTACTCCTTAGGTCATCATTCTTTTTTTAGTAATATAACCCTTCTTCATCCTACTAGCAACACACATTTCCAGAATTTTAGACAAATGTGATAATTCATACCATCCAATTTAATATGGATTTGAGAGAAATTCTCTTGAATAATCATGGCAGACTACATCTTGCTGTTCGAATTAACAAAGGCCTTGTCACTGTTGGACATATTTGCTTGCTTGTCAAACATAGAAGACTAGGGTTGATTGAAGTGGCTGTAAGGAAAAAACAGCAAGAGATTGTCAACAATGGCTGCTGGTTAAAAATGAAGATTCATACAAATTCTCGTCAAGGAATCGAGTTAGGACCTTTAATCTAAAAAGCTGATACCAAATTGAAGAATAGAATTAGGTTGGGTAGTTTTTATTCAGATCACTAAGGGTTATTTATATAGGATACATATTCATCATTTTGGTAAGTAAACTATACAATTGAATAAACTATAATCTAGGAGCTGAAAGTTAGGCTAAAAATCAGCTAACTAATTGACAGTTATTTCCACCTAATATATTTTAACTAATAATGCTGCAAGTTCTTTTCGTCAAAGTTCTAACTTTGTAGGAATTTCTTCTTAGGATTAATGGTCAGATGAAAGATAACTTATTTGTTGAGGCCCAAACTATATGCAAAAATGAGTTTGCTAATCATCTCACATTTTTATGATATAACTAGGCTCACTATCCTATTTTCCCACATGTTTTGGCAAGCTTGCACATTATTGTCAAAATTGCATGTTGACTTGTAAAATCGGTAAAACCAGATCGAGTTTATGAGTTGACAAGAAGTATAAGATGAGTGGTTTTCTTGGTTTCGTATGAATAACCAGACGACTGGTTCTGGGTTTTCCAGAAACCGTTCGACCAGTTACCCCTGCTATTTTTAGTTTTCTATGTATTTTAAGGTGCTTGAAATTTCTATTGTTTATTTCACTTTTGTTTTAATTGTGTTGTAGTGTTATTTACTACTTGGTTGGAATTGCCAATATATAATTAGTTAAAAAAATTTACTTCTAATTTTATGATTTTACAATTTGATTTTACCTTGTGTTTTCCATGTATATCAAATGCAGTGATGGCCTTTCATTAATTATTCTCATCAGCCCCATTCCGCTTTTTCTGTTTTCACATCTCTACTCCCTTCTTTTTCATTCCAGTTAAAATAGGCCATTAGAATTTTGAGTGAGTCGTGCATTCTGTTTTACTATCCATGAAATATATGAGCTTTTATCATTTAGTGTTTAGTTTGTTCCCAAGCTCCTTATGGTTCATACTTATGGTGTACGCTCTTTTTTTAATCCAGATATTAAAACCATGGAAGCAAAGGTTCACGCTTTAGAGGAACTTTCAAAGCAGCTACTTTTGGAAATATATGAGCTTTGCCAAGCTAAGATTTATTTCTAGTATATGCTCTTTGACTCTAGGAAATCCACTTCATTCTCATTTTTTTACTAGCTCATGGATAAGATATTTTTTATTTAGTATGTGGGATAATGATGGGCTGGAGTTAGAAAGATCATCAGGACAATACATTAAAAGACATGCTGATGTCTAACAGGTCAAGCGGTGGCTTTTAGATATCTTGATTGAGGTATTTGAATGAGGGTGTTCTGTTTCTTTGATGTTTTTTCAGCCTGATTTTGGAGATAGGAAAAAAGAGTGCATTACGTTCAGAGAAAGGAGTTTGGTCACTTGAAGAGGGAGATTTTTTACGTGTCTTGATGCAAGGGTTTTATATGATTTGGTGGACGTGATAATTATTTCCATTTTTTTCTTAAAAACAGAAAAAAGAAATACTCTATAATGTTTTGTTTCTCCTCATTCTGATCAACCAGCTTTTATATCTTCTGCTTTCTTAACTTTGCAGGAAGCAGCTGCTTTTTCTCAAACTTGGAGGGGTCGCATGCAAAATTTACTTGGCTTTGCATGCTCTGTCTATTGTGTGTACAAAATGATCAAAGTATGGTGAAAACATTCTTTGATAGAAGAATGAGGATCTTTTGGATGCCTTTTGTGTGCAAACTGATTTATGTAAAATTTGTTTAATGTGAGATTCGGTTATATTGTGTTTATGTCTTAGAATCAATTCCACATGCATGGTTAATAAAAACAGTCTCTCAATAATACTCAAGTTTTTGAGGGCTATGTGTGGGTGCTGGGGGTTTGAAGATAAATGTGATCTCAAGTTCCATTAGAATTGTCTTAGGTATGTGTGTTAATTTCTAGGTTTGATTTTTACTTAGGGGTTGATTTCCTAGAAAAGATATTTGTTAGAGAACTACATAAAATTTTTTGAGTGGTAGGATTTGCCCTGGGAGCTTAGCAAAACCTTCTTACCTCTTAGTGCTTGAACTAGACCCAAAAGTGACTCCAATTAGGGTTTTTTAACCAGTAAAACGTTTTGGACACCTGTAAAAAGATTTGTCTTCGGACATTTAACAAGTATTTAGACATCTAAGATTTGTCTTCCTTGTGAAAAATGCCTCTATGTGCTATTAAATTGAATTTCATGCTTACCAAACTAATCAAACTAATCAGCTGTCAACAAAAGGAAGAATTGGGTAAAAAAAAACATAATTCATATTTGATGTCTGACTATCAATTGATACTTGGATTCTGAAAATAGCAGAAGTGGAAACAAAATTGGCAATAATGAAAGTGTCAATAATTCCAGCACTCTGCAATGAACATCAAAGCCATCAGAATTTTGTTTTTATGCAATTATTAATTATTGTTGGAAATTATCCGTCAAATCTTGCACCCATTTAATGAAGGATATTGGTCATGCAAACTTTTGATGTTATGGACATATTGTTCAAGAAGTACTTTATGGAGGTCTTATTATTAATTTCATTTTGATGTTTTTGAGTTGAGCGACTTCCAATGATGGGTGTGTTGTGCCGAGTCTGTAATCAACTACTGGATTTATGGGTTAGGAATGAATCAAAATCCTGCAATAATGTCATTACATTTACAATATTAGCAACTGGCATCAGCTTTAGGGAGTCGCTTTTCTGGATGTTCTACTTTTTCTCATATGAGATGGATTATTATATTCTGTGGTACCGATGAGAGATTAGTGGAATTCTGTCACTTAACATGAAAACTAAGTTTTCCTTCCTTTGACTGAAGAAAACAATACTAAGTTTTACCTCCTTTGACTGAAGGAAAAAATTGATCCACCTTTATACTAGAACCCTCCATTTTAGTGATTGCAATAATTTTGTTTGTAATTCCTTCAACTGTTTTCAATTTCAAAAGTGTTGAATCTGATGCAATAATTTTTTTCTATTGGCAATGAATGTACTATTTTAGGTGTCCGTTAATTTACTTTTCATTTTCTAATTTCAATGCAAGGCATGAATAGAGCAAGGTGACTGAATACTCTCTTTGCTTAGTGCAGTCTCTGCAGAGAGTTATTTTCAAGGAGGTAATTTCCTGCCCCTCAATGATTCCTTCTGTCGACATGCTCAACTTGTAATTCAATGTATGGTTTCAAATCACAAAATCATTTGTTACTATCTTTTTTATCTGATTCTTAAATAATACTGTTTTTTACAGGCTGGTTCAGTTGATCCTGTGACAAGGACTAGCAGCATATTTTTACAGTTCTTTGATATAGGAATTAATGCAGCATTATTATCACAGGTTAGTTATGAATGTTACTTGTAATAGTAAATAAATGACTACTTGCATGTTAATTTCATTATTCAAGATCCTAGCATGTAACTTGCCACCTTTTGTAATGTTAATAGTTTATCATTACATTTATTCATGTTTTGTAGGATCTCTTCTCCTGTCACTAAACTTAATAAATATAGTTAGTTAAGTCAAATTCTAACTAGACAGAACCACAAAGTTGATCTATCAACAGTTGGGTCTGTTGTGGCTGTGATTCATTGTCAAAAAGGTCTTCAGTTTTATGGTAGGGTGTTAGGCACTTAAAACATGTTTTTCTATTGGAATTAACTGAAGCGAGAATGATATGGTGAACTTACAGGTTGTTGACGAAGTGTGGCAATACAAGACAGAAATTTAAAGTAAATTGCTTGGTTTTAAAATGATGAGAATTGGTTTGATTGTTTTCCCAGTATACCTCCTAACAAAATTCAAAGATTATTGGTGCCTTCCACACATGTGACGTGAATACTGTGTGACCCTCAACTAAAGTTAATTATGTGACTTCTTGCATGTGTAAAATTACTGTGATTTTCATACTTTATTTACAAGAATTGTATTTTTTGCATGCATTCTTTAGAGTTTCTTCTGAAACATATTTGTGTCAAAAGAATTGTATGAAGAACTGCATGGCTGAAGCTACTGTCTTACATATATTTATGGTGTGCATTACATTTCCCTGTTATTCATTGGAATCTTGTTCGTTATATCAGTTCGATGATTTTTAACAAATCTTATGAAGTATATTTTACTTTCAATTTCCTTTTTGTAATTTGTATATTAGAGATTCTTCTTTTCTTATTTGTTAGTCATGACTTAATTTTATTAGGACATGAACTCTTTGAAGAGAGAAATCTGCAAGGCGCACCTGTATTTTGTTTTTTCTTTTTCTTGGTTTATTATCTAATAAGTAAAAAAGTAAAAAATATCAGACAACAAGGAATGCCTGAAAGAGGGAAAAATTTGAGTCATATTGGATTATTTAGAGTGTGTTTGGCATTGAGGCCAAAACACCGTTTGCCAAAAATTTGAATTTTTTTTTCTTAAAATTATTATTATTATTTTTATGTTTATATTTTTGGATTGTTTTGATGTGCTGATGTCAAAAATGATTTTTTTTTTAATAAAAAACATTATCATGATGCATTTTTTAGCGAAAAGCACTTTGAAAAGCAATTGCTATTACAATGCAAAACATGCCTATAAATGACTTTAATTAGTCCAGCTGAGTACTGAATTCATATGACAAAATGCTTTCCAAACTCTGTGAGTTGATAATATAATGATTAGGAACTAGACGGGTTGTCCTCACCTGAACAATAGATGCACTAGCCTAAAAAAGCTGAGTCTTTTGACATGACTGCTACAGATGCATGCCTGGAGTTGTTCTCAACTAACTTATAGTAAAAATCTTTTGAAGCTGATGGTTTTATAGATTGGAAGTGAGAAGTAAGAAGCTTACCTTAACAACGTATAGTGTTTGGCAATATGCAGTGCTTCTTTGCAGTTTCCAGAGTTGGGAGTGGATCTTCAAGCAATGCTGTACTTTTCCTTTCTGAAATCATGGGAATGTACTTTATCTCTTCTATACTACTGATAGTGAAAGGCTTAGCAACTGAGTACAGGTATGTTAGTTTTTGATGCAAGGTCAGATTACTGATTCTGCACATGAATTTTGTCAAAAATCTATTTGTATTTTCTATCCATGTTTCTGCAATTGCTTTGAACATGCTATTAATTTTTAGCTTTCTAGTGGACACCTTTCTGCAGAACCAGAAATTGTTTCAATACCTATTGTCAGAATGAAAAGATAACTTAATCAGCATGGGAAAGTTGTAGAAATTGCAGTTGCATCACGTCGCAATTTCCCTGCAGTTGGAAGAAGAATATTTGCAGTGCATGATCTGTTGTTTAACAGCATGCTTGTCTTCAGCATTTTTTCCTCTTCTGCGTATTTGTGAAGGAAATTGTTGAGCATCTTTTCAAATCAATTTGATAACCCAATTTCCTGAATACTGAAATGTCCCTAGTTTATCCCAAATATGTCTTAAATGTTGTTGCTGAAATTGTCTTGCGTTGCTAAAACATTCTATCTTGAAATCTCCATGTATTTTTTATTGGCTCAGTTCAACTCGGAGATAACATCTGTTTCCGAAGCTTCTGGGAAGTCCTCATGTTGAACATTTCATTTTTAGAAGAAAGAGGGAAAACACAAACTGTTACTGAAATAAGACCACATGCACTCAATAATGGATTATTTATTGTTAGACATAATTACAAAAATGGTGTTACCAGACTAGAATGTCAATTGTTTTTGCAAGGTGATGATTCCTGACCCTGTTAGGCAAGTTTTTCTTGTATTTCAGACAGCAAATTCTTAATAGATGTGTAGATCTTTTGTTCATTCTCTTGAAAATATAAGTATTGTTCTCTGGTTAATTAACTTGCACAATATCGATGTGTATGTAGATTGGTTTGTTTTCAGTTTACCACAAATTTCGTACTATGGTTTGTTATGCTCTGCATGTAACCACGCAATCTATGACTTTGTTTGGAATCGGATGATCAAATGCTCTTAGTTTCTGAAAATTTACCAAACCAATCTTCTTTCTTAATAAATGCAAAGCTAAAAGATTACAAGAATGCAGATTAATTTGTGGCTACTTGTTATTTATTCTTTGCTTAACTGGGCTGCTTTCAATGTATTCTTGATTTTTTTGAACTGTTATCCCTTGACAGGATAATCATAACAGAAGTCTAGGTGGAGAAATTCAGTTTGACTTTTATCACTGGTGGTTTGATGCAATCTTTGTAGCAAGTGCTTTCTTTTCACTGCTTTTGCTTTCTGCACATTATAAGTCTTGCCAGTCTTATAAACACCCAATCGATTGATGTATACTTTGTGTAAGTATGTGCTAATTCAATCATTTCTTTTATCCTGCGTTATTCATCTCATCAAGCTGATTAAAACCCAACTGTTTATTGCTGGATGACAGTTTTTAAGAAACTACAAATTTGACAGTCAGTAACATTTATGAAGCTACGGACTTCAAGTAGTGTCATGATCATTTATGCATAACATTTGCTTGGTGCCATTGGATTTATGTAGTAGACTTGCAATGAGAAGAGTTTGAAAAATGCCAAAATGCATGGGACAAATCAATTGTTTTCTGTCATCTCATGTTTAAAGGAAGAGAGTGTTGTCTCTCTTCCTTTCCCATCACTAGTCCTTACCTAGTATCACCTGAAAGCTCCTATTGTTGGTTGAAACCCTCCTATGCTTCTTGCTTATACAGTAATCTCGTCATCATTGTGGATCATTAATTGTCATGCAAGTACTCTATCAGCAGACCACTTATTTTGCTGTTGTGTGTCTTTCATGCAGGAAGCATACTTGTGAGATGATTACTACAATCCAAAACTAGGTACCTGCTTCCTAAGGCACCTATTCACTTGATTTCCTTTTCATTTAAACCAATTGGCACGCCTTTCTTATTTAGACTGTTGTGATAAAAAGTAGTTTATGAATAACATGTAACTGCTATCTGACTGCTAACTGCCTAGGATTCACTCCAGCTTTATCATGAGCACATTAGCTTTCAGTATCTCATGTATTCCTGAGGATTGCAAAAATGACCTAAGCTAAAACAAATTTGAGGAACAGAGGTGAGCTCTGTTTTGAAGTTTGTTTTAATTTTCTGATAATGTGAGTTGTGCTTGAATTAGTGAATGGATTTGGATAGGTTAATGGTGATACAAGTCAAACTGAATTCAGATGCCCATTGCTATGTGAATATTTTACTGTGTTGCTGATTTATCATCATAAATGGGATATTTAGCCATACCATTGGTTATTCACTATGTCAAAGGTTAGATAAGTTATCTACCTGGTTTTAAATCACTCTGACCATTTTCTTGGTATCATTCACCATGCTAACCAAGAGAGATTACTAATAGTTTTAGAATTTCGATATGCTGGACCTACAGCCCCAAAATGCAAGACGAGGCAAAACCATGCTTCGATTATTTTTGGAGAATATCTGTGTCCAACAGAAAGGCCATTACAGTGTCAGAAACAAAGGTCCATAGTGGGATGATATCTTGACGTGTAGACCCAGCAGTTTGCATGAAGTGGCTCTAAAAGTTTCTTCTGTTCGATCTTCAATGATACCTAGGGATGAATCATAGTAAATTGATGCAGTAGTGACTGGCATGCAGGATTCTACATTAAACTTTGGGTTCTGGAATATGGCAGTTTGGTATGTGAAGATGATATCGGCTGCTAGATATCATATGCGTAGTGGGTTACTCTGGCAGATTCCACCTTGATGCTTTATTGCTGAAGGGCATAAAAGCCAAGGATGTCTCTTGGATTCTGTATTAGCAATGCACCACAACTTGTGTAATTAGAATTTGAGATAGAAAAGGTGCGTATGTATGAATGCATTAAAAGAAAGGCGACAATCACCAATGGAGTGGTACCTCTATTATTCACCAATTTCGGTTTCCTCTTCTAATCGTAATTAGTTGATGCAATTTTCCTTATTCTTTTCTTAACAATTATTTCTGGGGTGATTGCGAAATGTTCAGGCTGTGTGGTCAAATTGCATTCCATTGATGCCTTTTGGAGAGATGCTCAGATTGCTTTAATATGTAGATCTTTTGGAATGTTTGAGCATCTTTCCTATGTTCACTGCACCTTGCCTCGTTAAAGACATTTATATTGTTTTCCTACTCCAAGAAGACTAGGAGAGTGATGGTTTACAGCTTATTGTAAGTTAAAAAGATTGGAAGACATTCGAGACACAGATTTTCTTACGAGGTCAACACCAGCAGCTCTGTTCCACTGTAGGGGGTTTTGGAAAAATTCATGTGTAACGCAAGTCAACTTTGTGAAGGATGGTGCTTATGTAAGGTCTGATTATTATTATGATTTAAATGAAAATGACAACTTTTTTTTTTTAAATAAAAAAGTTGTGGCTGAACGATAGTGGTCATTGCTGATCTTTGAGCTACTGTGTTTGCGTTTTCAACTGGGCTTGATTTGATTTAAAAGCGTGTAAGAAATTGTTTTTTTTTTTTTTTTTTAAATTTTAAGGTTTGGAAATATATTAAAATAATATATATTTTTAAAAAATTATTTTTAATATGAACATATTAAAAATATCTAAAATATTAAAAAAATTACTTTTAAAAAAATCAAATTTTTATAAAAAAACATATTCAATTATGTCATTCAATTTAATGTTGTGTATGTTATTTTAAATTTTAAATTTTTTTATTTTAAATTAATTTTTTTATGTTTTTAAATTTTTTTTAATATATTGATGTTGAAAATAATTTTTTAAAAATAAAAAAATAATTTTAAAAAATATATATTTTTTAAAATATTTTAAACTGTTTCAACAAACTCCAAGGCCCGAACAGAGGGCATTCCACCGCACTCAGTTTCTTGCCAGTTCACACCTTAGGCCAGCCAGCAAAGAGGGAATTGACAGAAGTAGCTAAAACCAAAACGAATGAGGGACTCTGTCACGGCATCTGATACCTCCTTTGAAAAAGGCTAGTACGTGAAGCAAATGAGGATCTAAAGGGTGGTGGTGTCATCAGATCAGAATTGGCAGTGGAGTTTTACGCAGAGACAGCCACCTACCAGCACCCCAACCATTATCTTCTGAGAGGGAGGGTGGACCTTCCTCAACCCTAAAAACATGTAATGCGGGAAATATTTGAACTTTGACTTTGCTCTTAACAGTTTCAAGCAAACATTTTATGGATCGTTGCACCTCTAAGATATCACTGTCCTACAATGGACCTTGCTCTGGTGAGGGAATGAGTCGCAAAAGAACACATGCCTCAAGATTAGATAGTGCATAAATGCATTAAAATTATGAAGAGCAACAGAACTTCAAGGTTAGCAGACCTGCATCGCTTCCTCCTGTAAAAATAAACCGCTTCCCATCTAAAATGGAGGGAATCACAATGTAACTTGTGCTTATATTTGTCAAAGCAGTTAAAGCCATGTCCATGCTCCCATGGAACATTTGTGAGTCAAGATCAAGCTTGTGCATTTCTAATCTCTAAGCAAATAACCGAGGAACCAGATACTGAGTTTTAAGCTACACTATGCTTTACTTGAAGACCAGACAGGAAGCATCATGTCCAAAGCAAATCATCTAGATTTGTAATAAACCAGGCAAGAAAGAGGGTGTTCAGATCCTAATGATGTTTTCCCAGATCTTAAAGTTTCAAGTAATTTCTCGCTGGGAGGCTGGAACGGCATGAGCTTCAAAACCTGAAATTTAGTGCAGGGAAACGAAAGAGCATGGCCACAAATGCAAAGCATAAAACAACCATGAGTACTGCTACATTATAAATGAATAAAGAAAAATACTAAGACCAAGAGAATCAACAGTGAGAATTAACAAAATTCGGAGCCTCAAAAAAATCCACAGAAATGAGCATAATGAGATCTAGACCAAATCATATGACTTTCAATGTCAATGTGTGGTCAATTATGATCATCTGAATACCTTTAACAACTCAAATACAGAATGTTACAAATACATAATTATGGGCTTACAATCACATGGTATCACGTGTCCAGGTTTTAGTCTTGAGAGCAGCCACTTCAAATAAAAAATTTCTGAAGCATAGGACTGCCTTCAAATTCTTCCTCTCAAGGTCCTGCTTTAATGGAATCACAACAGGATAAAGACCATCTTTTATGTTCCATGAAATCAATATGCATCAAGATAGAAATAAAATACAGGTTAACATTGTAAAGTTCGCGATAAAAATGATAATGACAAAACAAGTGTCACCTTCCCAATCAATTTAACATTTGGTTTTTTCCGTAAGTCAAGGATTTTGCACCGAGGATAGGAATGAAGCAAAGCATTAACATCCCATTACAGCACAGTTTGCCACAAAAGCACCCGCTCGCTCCTTGACAGCAAGAACATTCCATTCTGGTCTGTCTGTGCTTCTGTCCTGAGGATCCCAAGTATGTAGCACAATAACTTCACCTTGAGGACCTCTGTGCCCTCCAATCACCAATAAGCTGGTACCGCATGCTTTAAATGCTAATCCCCAGCCATTGGAGGAGTCAGCCCTAACTGGCAACCTCTTCACAACACTCCACGAGTTATTAGTTTTGTTGTAGCTCTTGACCTCATTGGTTGCTTGATCAGCGGAATAAAGTTGATTATTTACAACAGCGACCAGTGGAGGAGAACGCATGGCAGGATGACCTGCACTGGGAAGAGGGTACATGTTCTCTATCCTCCTCCATGTCCTTGTCTCAATGTTATACTCCTCACCACAACTTAAACAATCAGTTTGGCTTGACATGCCCCCGATGACATAGAACTTCCCATCCATAAAAAAGCCAGAACACAGTTTCCTGGGCAAGTTCATATCTGGCAAAGTTACCCAAGTACCCAGTTCAGAGTTATAAAGCTCAGCAGATCTCATAATACACCCATTCTTGTCGCTTCCTCCAGCAACAATAGCAATTTCCCCAAGGCTGCTTGAACCAAACAAACAACGGGGTAAGTTCATTGGTGGGCATCTGGACCAGTCATGGGTAAGCAAGCTGTACATCCAAACAGCAAATCCTAACAACTCACGCCCAAAAACAAGTAGCTGAGTTCCTACTGCAAGAGACTCCTTATCTGCATAAGTGAAGCATTCGTCGCAAGGCATCCTGGGTAATCGCATCCATCTCTGCCTTGCAGGATCAAAAGCTTCCCAAGGCATCAAAATACAAGCTAAATAAATCCAGTGTTCAATAACACCAAGATGCCGCCTCACTTTATATAAACACCCACTTTCAATCAGTGCTTTGAATTTCTTATTCAGACAAGCAAAATTGGGGTAATCCGATCTGCAACTCCATGCCAAAATATCTATTGCAGCGTCATCATAAAGACCAGGCAAGAGACTGTCTTCGGATGCTTGCCCATCACGATTCTCTCCCGTATCCATAGGGTCATAATCAGAATTCGAACTCTCTCTTTCCAACAAACCAATTCCAACATTTTCCGAATGGTTATTATTTCTCTCTGAGAACAAATATGCCAGTAAATGCAAATTCTTATGCAAAAGTCCTAAGTCTTGCTCTACGTTCACGGGAGGGTGCAAAATAACGCAATTTTGCAAACCAACCATAAGAGATGAATCACAATCTGCCCTTTCCACCTTCACCTTTGGTTCCTTGATAACATCTCTAAAAACCATTCTTCTTCTTCTTCTTTTGAAAAAAACAAGAGAGAGAGAACTGGGTTGGTTTTCCTTCTGCAACACCAATCAATTAAAGCAGATAAAAAAGAAAAAAAAAACAATAAACTGTCAAAACAAGTTGTTAATTAATTAACATAAATTGCAACTAAGTAATAACAGCAACTTCAAGTGGCAACAGATTGGACATAGTCAAAAAGAAACATCAAATCTAACATGCGATAAATAGAGGAGCAAGGACAAGAAGAACCCAGAAAGGATACAGATCCAATCATGCAATGAAGTCAAAGGCATCAATCCATAACCAAAATATAAATTCACCATCAAATCAAACCAGTACAAATTTCATTTCAATAAGGAAAAAAAGGAAGTCTCTTTGCTTGTGGGTCTCACCTTGAATGGCTGAATTCTCTCTCTCTCACGCAGAGATAAAACTGGAGCCGATCAGATCAGTTTAAAGAAGCAGTAGTTTCTCTCGCTCTGAAAAGCTCAAATCTTCAGTTTTCTTTTTTCTCTTTAAAGTAAAGTAGCTATATCTTTCTCTAACTTCTATTCATCCATGGTTTTGGTTCTGGTTCTGGTTCTGGTTTTGGTTTATGATGGTAAAACATGAAAATTAGTATTGTTCTTTAATGTTTCTCTCTCTAGAGAGGGAGAAGGAGAGGCTTGAGGGATTTTAATGGTGGAATCGATCCATCCATTGATGTTATTAATTAATTAGTTTTTCATTAATAAAAATAATAAAAAGCAAAGCCAAGCAAAGCAAAGGTTGTTGTTGCGTTGTTGGTTTTTTTGTTTTAATTTTTAACGTTTTGTTTTTCATGTTTCACTGCCTTTGTAACTTCCCCTCCTCAGTTTCTTCTTTCTCTCTCTTTTCATCTTTGACCGAAGAGGCAAGGAAGGAAGCATGCGTCGAGCGAGAGTGCTTCTTCTCATCTTCCCTCTTATTTTGCTCCCTTCGTCGTAGTGATGTGCACGTGCTTCTTCTCATCTGCCCTTTCTTTCTATAAATAATATTTATAATAAGAGTATATTGTATGGAATTATGATCATGGCTGATTTTTAAAATAATTTTTATTTAAAAATATATTAAAATTATATGTTTTTTATATTTTTAAAATTATTTTTTATATTAGTGCATTAAAATATTTAAAAAATTTTAAAAATAAAAATTTTAATTTTTTTAAAAAATTAATTTTGAAACATGAAAACGAAAAAGATGTTAATTCATAATTGAATTTATCATTACTTATAAAAAGTAGTTTTACATTTGAGTTAACATTGTTTCTATCTATATATATTTATCTTTTTTTTTTGTTATATTTTAAGACTAATTTCAATATATTTATAAATATCATATCAAGACATAAATTTTCCTTATTTTTCATATTTATATTAGAGGATTGAATTTCAAGTACTATCACATTAATAACTTGTGTTTTGTCTTTCATACATTTTTTTTCCTTTTTTTATTAAGTTCATAATTTCAATTTTCTTTTCTTTTTTCATTTTATTTACATTCTAAATTCAATGATTTTCAAGTTATGAAAAAAATTTATGGTGTTTAAACCTTAGAACTTGGTTTTATTTATTAATATACAATGTTATTAAAAATTCCTGTAAGCAACATTAAAAAAGAAAGAGAGGTTTTTTCCCTCTCTTTTTCATCCAATAATGAGATAGCCACCCTCCTCCCTTTCCCCCCACAAAACCAGTTACCCTCGTCCCTCTCTCGCGCGCGGTGTGATCTTCCCTTTCTCTCGCACGGCCCAACCAACAGCCGCCCTCCCTCCCTCTCGCACGGCGCAGCCAGCCTCCCTCCTCTCATATATGTCAGTCCCAAAACAGATTCTTACTCCTGCATTTTCAGCTCCATTATGAAAGATTTTGTCAATTCGGAAGATTATATTATTACATGGTGTTTTTATCCGTTTTTTTTTTTTTGTTAAGGATTGTTTGAAATCCAATGCGGGTTGCTGTTGAAGTATCAATAGAATCTAATTTGAAAATTGGGACTTGATTTGATAAAATCGTACTATTTCATTAGACTAACATGGGAGAGATCTTGTTCAAAGTCAGAATGGAATGTCATTCAAAATATCCTCTGATGTTAGAAGCTTAGAAATCTTATCAAATACATTCAACAGATCCCTTTGTTTACTTCTCCCAGAAACAGGATCGAGAGGAAGGAGGTGAGGAAGAAGACCCTGTTGATGTCTTAAAGGCTGTAGGTGAGGCTGGGAAAGGGCTCGGCAAGAGTGTGCTTTTCTCAAAGGCTGATGAATTAAGCCTTACTTTTCTCCAGGCCCAGAATAGGAATCACGAAATTCCTTGTAAACACTCTTGTTTTCTTTTCGATATAGTAGGCAAATCTGACACAACAGTCAGACAATTTTGAAGAAACATGGTGGTCTGTATCTATGCTCGTTGTAGCAAGTGTAGCACAGGAGCGAGGAAGCAGAAACATTGAATGTCATCAGTGTCGATTTTGTTGACATTCTAGTCTAGGATTCTTTCCCAGCTGATGGACTATCAGTCGCCAGCACTAAGACTTCTACTCCCTTCGTATATTCTTGGCTGTAACGTATGCAGGATAGAATTGTATATCAGCTTGTTAAAGCCGATAATTTTAGGTTTCAGGTGTACTATGGTTATTTGACTTCCCGTGTAAATAGACTAGATAAATGACTAGCGTGATGATATAGATTAATTTTTTATATAAAAAATATTTAAAAAAATTAAAATTTAAAAGTGTTATATTTTGTTTATAAAGTTATATTCAAGAGTTTTAATTTGATTACAATGCTAGACTTAAGAGTAATATTTATAATAACATTAAACTTGAAAAACTCAAGTTTAAGTGGATCTAGTTGCAAAGTTATGTCATAAAAATATGATACTTAAATAGATTAATTAAAAGAACAAAACAAAAAAAAACCCAATATGAAGAAAAAAATTAATGAAGAAAAAGAAAAAAAAATCTTAATTAACTGGATTAACTCATCAAACCTGAAATTCGTGTCATGAAAGTTTAATAACTAAATAAAAAAAAATTAATATCAACAAACTAGATAAAAAAAGTTAATTAAAAAGAAAAAAAAGCATAAACTTTTTCACCGTGAATTGTACTGTGTAGTCTATAGTGAAAGACATAAAAAGAAAAAAAAGAAAAAAAACTAAAGGCATCAGCCTTCTCACTGTGGACTGCATACAATATTAAAAGATGAAATCAGAAGAACAAAAATAATGAGGAAAAAGAAAAACAATATGAATTAATCTGGTTAACTAGTTAAACCTGAGATCTGTGTCATGAAAATCTAATAATTAAATAGAAAAAATTTAATATTAAGAAACTAAATTAAAAAAATAATTAGAAAACAAAAAAAGAAGAAGAAAAGGACAAAAAAAGAAACTAAAGGCATCACTGTGGATTGCACTGTGTAATCCATAGTCAAAGGCTTAAAAAAAAAAAAAAACAAAGGCATACACCACGGGTTATTTTTTTCTTGCATAAAAAATATCAAAAAATGTTAAGATGCAAGAGTGTTATGTATTTCTGCAAAGATATATCCTTTGGTCTAGCTACAAAGCTTAACCCTAGAGTAATATTTATCATATTTATAATAACATTAAACTTGCATGATCAAATTTTAAGCAAGTCTGGCTGCAACATCAGACCCGAGAATATTGAATGTGAGTCTGGCTATAAAGTCGTGTCATAAAAGTGTGATAATTAAATAGATTAATTAAAAAAAACAAAGAAAAAAACTAGCAGGAAGAAAAAAACTAATGAAGAAAAAAAATGAATTAATTGGGTTAACCCTTTAAATCAGGTTAACCCGTAAAACCTGGGATTCGCGTTATAAAAGTGTAATAATTAAATAGAAAAAAAATTGACAAGTTTACTCAGAATTAATTGGGTTAACCCATCAAACCAAGTTAACCCATCAAGCTTAGGATACGTGTCATAAAAGTCTGATAATTAAATAGAAAGAAATTTAACATTAACAAACTAAACTAAATAAAAATAATAATTAAAAAGAAAAAAATCAGGGTTAACTCGTCAAATCAGGTTAACCCATCAAACTCGGGATCCATATCATGAAAGTCTAATAACTAAATAAAAAAATTAACATTAACAAACTAAATCAAACAAAAAAATTTATTAAAAAAAATAAAAAGAAAAAAAAGGAGAGAAAAAGACAGTTCTATAATATAATATAATATAATAATAATTATAATATAATAATTATAATAATATAATATATTAATAAGTGAAAGGCGTGGGGAAGCTATAGTGCTTTTCCATGGCTTTTAGAGTATTACTTAATATCACATAAACTATTGCTGCTATTTAAAGGCTAGCATTGTGAATTGCAGTTGTAACTGAATGAATAAAAAAACAAAAGTTTATCTTAGTATCAGATCCCACTATTCTTTAAATCACTATTGAATCTCTTCTTCCTCTGATCCTTAACCTTCCCTAAATATCTCCCCCTTCTTCCCTTGTAACTAAATCTTTTCTCTCTTTATTCCTTAGCCTTTTCGTCCTCCTTTTTTAATCACTACTGAATATCTTCTTCCCCTATATTAGAACAAGTATTCTTGGTCTAAATCTTGCATCATGGCGAATGACAAAACTGAATCAACACCTATTATTTATGTTCAAATCGAAAACCTTAAATTTACAACCAGTGTTATTCTTACTGAAGTTAACTACATTTTATGGTCCCAAATCATAGGGATGCAAATTACAGGAAGGAAAAAGCTTGGATATATTATGGGCAAAACACAACCCCCTTCTTATGAAAAATGATATGCCGAAAATTAAAAGGTTAACGGGTGATTACTAACTTTTATGTTACCAGATATTATGAAACGATACATTCGACTACACACTATATATGAAACTGAGAATGCTCTATCCAAAGACATTTACAATGGATAAGATGAATCATAACTTTTTTCACTAAATCAAAAAGCTTTCTCTACGAAACAAATAGGTCGCACATTATCAACATGTTATGGTGATCTTATGGCAATCTTCTAAGGACTTGATCATTGTAATAGAATTGTAATGAAAGACCTTGATGATGTTATTACTTATAGAAAGTTTGTTAAAAGATTACGGGTATATATTTTCTTGAATGGATTAGATGCTGAATTTGAACAAATCCAAGGGGAGATTCTTAGAAAGGACCCAATATTGGATATTGAAGAGGTTTATGCTTACGTACGTCATGACGCTATTTGCATAATCACTTTAAATAATGAAGTTGATCATGTTGAAACATCTGTGATGAAGGCACGACAAGCTAAGTTTAGAACATATCGATCAACTAGTCCTACCATTGAAAAAATTCAGCCATCAGGACCTTATAATAACAATTACAAGATTGGAAAGGCAAAATCAAAGTATACTTGCACTCATTATGGTGAAATTATGCATATAAAGTTATGATGCTATGAACTAATTAGGTATCCAGAATGGTGGAGTTTTGCCAAAGCACCATGCAAACAAACACTCATACCTTGGTTGTAGTAGCAAAACACCCCGCCACCAACATGCCTAAGGATGACTCAACCTTAATTACAACATTTAGTAAGGCCTTTCATACTTCCACTTACAGTGATAGTGATGAATGAATAATTAATTATGAAGTTATGGACCACATAACTTTTGACAATCTATGTATTTAATCTTCAAAACCTTCTGAACAACATATTATATCCACACAAATGGTATTCATTCTCCTGTTATTGGGGAAGGCTCTCTCACCCTCACTAAAAAGATAAGCCTTGATTCTGTATTAGTTGTTCCAACTCTGAATCATAACTTACTGTCAGTGGCTCAAATAACTCTCACTCTATAATGTATTATTGTTTTTTGCCTAACTTTTATGTTTTAAAGGACATTCAAACTCCAAAGATAATTGATTATAGTACTAAAACTGGGAAGCTCTATTATATGCATTTAACGCCAGTAAGTTCTCATCATTTAGCTCAAGCATTCTTCATGAATAAGTATGCAGATCCTCATCAGTTAGCTTAAGTTCTTTTCATGAATAAGTATGCAGACTTAGACATTTGGTTGTGGCATAGATGTTTGGGTCACTCATCCTTTGAATATTTAAAGAAATTATTGCCAAAACTCTTTACTAAACTATCTGCCTCAAATTTTAAGTGTGATGTGTATGAATTGGCTAAGAGTTATTGGGTTCCATTTCAACTAAGAATGAATAAAAGTCTAGCACCGTTTATGGTTAACCATTTAGATGTATAGGGTCCGATAAATACCTTATCTTTTAGTGATAAATGATGGTTTGTTTTCTGTATTGATGATCACACCTATATGACTTGGATTTGCTTAATCAAATCCAAAAACAAAGTTAGTTTATTGTTTAAACAATTTCACAAAATGATAGCCACTTAATATCATTCTATAATATAGGCTCTCCGTAGTGATAATGATGGAGAATTTGTTAATCATGAATTGAAACAATACCTAGTTAATCATGGAATTGCTCATCAAACTACTTGCTTTTACACCCCTCAGCAAAACGGGGTTGCAGAACATAAGAACCACCACCTTCTTAAAGTTGTATGAGCTTTCTTGTTTAAAGCTCATGTATTAACTAGATATTGGGGTGAAGCCATCATAGCTGCAGTATATCCTATCAACCCTTGAGTACATTAAAATTTCAGACTCCATTAAGAGTTTTTTATGAAGCTATAAATTCTCCTGTTATGCTGAATTTGCCACCAAAAGTCTTTTGATTTAAAACCTTTGTTCATCTTCATAAACCATTAAGGAATAAACTGAAACCTCGAGCTAGCAAATATGTCTTTGTTGGTTATGCTCTGCATCAAAAAGGTTATTATTGTTATCATCCTCCAACTCACAAACTATATGTCACTTTTGATGTTATATTTCATGAAGACAGAGTGTATTACTCTACTTCTAAGCCCGCAATTCAAGAGGGCAACAAGGACGGCTCACAAACTCATAATGATGACCTGTATCACTTGGATGTTACAAGTGGTAAGTATTATAGTAATACACATCCACATAATTCATGAGATGAAAATAGTCAAGATCATATAAAAGCAGAATAACTAGAACCATAACCAACTACTTACATTAGGGACAACTAGATAAAAGTGGTGCAACAAAAATCTCAGCCATTTTAGTTACCAGCCACCCTCCTTCATAGTGTACCAATAGATCAATTGCTTCTTGAGTCTGAATTCGAGTCTGAACCTTAGGTAAATACTAAAACTCAACTCAAAATTCTGCCCTATAGAACCATAAGAAGAAAACCCAGAGTTGATTATGATATGAACCATTTCTTATTTTTAAACATCATTATCCCATAAATAATTTCATGTCCTACCATAGACTGTCAAATAAAAATAAAGGTTTTGTGAATCAATTATCTGCTATATCTATTTCTAGTAGTGTGCAGGAAACCTTGAAAGATCCTAAATGGAGAGAAGTTATGAATGAAGAAATGAGATCCCTTTAGAAGAATTCAATATGAAAAGTGGTTAACTTACCTACAGGAAAGGTATCGGTTGGATGCAAGTAGGTGTTTACCATTAAACATAAAGTTGATGACACCATTGAAAGATTTAAAACAGGGCTAGTCGTCAAAGGATATACTTATACTTACGAGATTGATTATATAGAGACTTTTGTACCAATAGCCAAGATCAATACTGTGTGAATCCTACTATCTCTAGTTGTGAATCTAGACTAGCCCCTCTATCAATTTGATGTAAAAAATACATTTTTATATAGAGATCTTCAAGAAGAATTATATATGGAATTACTTCTTAGATATATTATACAGATCAAAGGAAGCATACAGACATGTAGATTAAGAAAGTCCTTATACGGGTTAAAGCAGTCCCCAAGCAAGCATGGTTTGGGAGGTTCACCAATTTTATAAAGTATATTGGATACAAGCAAAGCAACTCAGATCATACGTTTTTCCTGAAAACTAATAAGAAAGTAATCACAACTCTTATTGTGCACTTTGATGATATGATAGTAACCATAAATAATCCTGAAGAAAATAAAGCATTGTAGAGTCATCTTGCCCTGGAATTTGAAATGAAATCTCTCGACTACTTAAAATAATTTCATTAAAGTGTCAAGATCGAAAGAAGGAATCTTTTGGTCTCAATAAAAGTATGCCTTAGATTTGTTGAAAGAACAGGTATGACAGCGTGTAGTCCAATCAATACTCCTATAGAAGAAAATTTAAAACTGAGTATACATTCACATTAAATCCATACTAATAAAGAACGTTATTAGAGATAAATGGGAAGGTTAATGTATATTGCACATATTTGACCTCATTTAGCTTATGTTCTAAGTGTGATTAGTCAGTTTAGACACTCCCCAAGTCAAGAGCATATGAAGGTTGTCACTTGTATCTTGCGTTACTTAAAATCATCTCGAGGTAAAGGAATTTTGTTTAAAAAGGGAGACAACTTTAAGATTGAAGGGTATATTGATGTTGATTGGGCTGGGTCAATAAAATATTAATGATTTACATTTAGATACTTTATATTAATGGGTGGAAATTTGGTTATTTGGAGAAGTAAGAAATAAGAAGTGGTGGTTAGATTGTTAACTAAAGCCGAATACAGGGGAATGACCAAAGTGATATGTGAATTATTATGGATCAAGAATCAAATACAGGAATTGCACATTGAGCAGACAAGCACTACAAAATTGTATTGTGATAGCAAGGTGGCATGCAATATCACATATAAACCCATCTAACATGATAGAACTAAACACATTGAGGTTGATAGATATTTTATCAAGAAAAAGTTGGAAGAAAAAAATTATTAAAGTACCTTATGTTCAGTCTTAAGATCAGATTGTCGATATATTAACCAAGGCAGTGTCTAACCAAGCTTTTAATATCTATCTCAATAAGTTGGGCATAAGTGATAACGATGCACTAATTTGAGGGGGAGTGTTGACATTTTAGTCTAGGATTCTTTCACAACTGATGGACCATCAATTGCTAGCACTAAAACTTTTACTCCCTTCATATATTCCTAGTTGTTATGTATACAGGATAGAATTGTATATTAGTTTGTTGGAGTCCATAATTATACGGGTCCATCCTTAGGTTTCAAGAGTACCATGGTTGTTAGACTTTTCATGTAAATAGATATCACATAAAATGTTACTGCTATTTAAAGGCAAGCATTATGAATTGCAGTTGTAACTTAATGAATAAAAAAATAAAATTTTATCTGATTTAATTATATAAACATGTTTAAGTGTATCTAGCTCTTAAATTCTTGTTCTTGTTAGCCATCTAGGTATATCAAATTTTGAGTTTAATTCTTAGATTGTTGTTTGTTTGTGACCATGTTTTTATCTTGGTAAGAGCTTCTAGTTCCACCAACTATAGTACAAGAAAATATTGGGTTTTCTAAATATCATACACGTAGTAGAAACAATAAAATAAAATTATTCGAGAGTTTTTATAATCTTGTTAGATAGATTTAGAGTTGTTTAGAAATTTATTACCTGAAGATATGATTTTCTTTGGCTTTGAATAATTCTTTAAAGGTTGTGCTATCACAAACTACAAGTTATCTAATTTTCCAACCTTTAAATTTTCCACCACGTCCACCAGCAGCACTGCTCAATAATTTAGACGTATCTCAAGTTGTAGTGCTCCAAATGATCTGAAATTTGGTGGGTGGAAGGAAAAGATAATTTTAACAACTTTCATGAAGAATACTTTACAAAATTGTGATTGAATCAATGTTAATTCAGCCCGCCAAAGTGCTTGAGTGATGTTGTCCACCAAGTCCACTAATCAATAGTTAGCCACTACATTAGTTATCAATTACTAAATGAATAGTTCTGAACTTTAGCCTATAAAAGGAGGAATTTGCCATTCATTTAAGCATCTTGTTTTCATATCAAGATTATGTTCTTGCTCTCTTTTTTTTTATATTTTTGTAATGCTTAAGTTTTGTTTTCATTAATCTCTTGTTCATGCGTTTCATTTCTTTTACTATACTTAGTTAACTTATATCATGTTTATGTTCTTATATTGTTTCTTTAAGTTTTTCTCCTTCATAATGTCTAGCTAAGTTAATTATATCAAGGTGAAAATGTTTCACTAATGGTGTTAGGATAATTATAATATAAACTCAATATGGACTTCAATGCTTATATCCCAAACAACTTGCTATTAACATGTCTTATCATTTTTATCTTATTAATTCTTAATACCTTACTTGTTAAATGGTTAATCTAGATTTGTGTTATATAACACTTGGTACATCAAATACTTGATCTTCATAGTCTTCGATCGACATCATTATTATGAGAGCAACTTGATTTGTTGTCAACATAAGTTAGCATCATAAATACTTGATAAAATTTATAAGTATGGTGTTATGTAAATAAGATGATTAATATCATCATGTTGATAATTAATAAAGAGTTTATACCTTACTTATCTCTAATAACATTAGTATATCCTCTAATCTTGACATTTGTTTTTATCATTGTATAATCTTCACATTAATCTTACATCTCAAAGTCCTATTTAACTCATCTTCACCACCATCATTATTGTTGTTGTTGTTATTCTTATTATTATTCTTATTATTATTCTTATTATGTAGTTAATTTTTCTATGGTTCGACCCTGGTCTTGCCGGGTTATTTATTATTTTGACACTCTTACACTTAGGATAAGACATCAACTCTTTGATCGTGTTAAGTTTTTATCGCCGTTACCGAGGAGATAAATTCTTGTATAAATTATAATATTTATTTTATTTTCACTTTTTTTTGTATTTTACTTTTGTTTTGTTTCTTTTTTTTTCTTCCTCCTTTTTTTTTCTTCCTACACATGCATGAGAGTTTGGACACGTACATTAAGTGGTAGAATTTGTAGGGTATCTTCATCACTTTTAGAAAAATGATCAAAGAAGATAACCAGTAACTTCATAATGAAAATAATGAGAATAATCGAGTTAGAACACTTAGAGACCATATGAATCCTACAAGAACAAGTGCACCCTCATGCATAATTTTCCCTCTTATTGCATCTTATTTTAATTTTAAGCCAGACATTATTCAACTTTTATCTTCTTTTTATAGCTTAAATTTAGCAAATCTATACTTGCATATGAAAGAATTTGAAGAAGTCTATAACACCTATAATGACTTAAATTGTAGCATGAACACCATCAGATTAAAGCTTTTTTCTTTTTCATTAAAAGTTAAAGCTAAAACATGGCTACAAAATCTTAGGTTAGGATCCATTCATGTTTGGGATGAAATGCAACAATAATTTTTAAAGAAATGTTTTTCATCTCACAAAACAAACTTTTTCGAAAGACAAATCATCACTTTCACTAAAAAACTAGGAGAAATATTTTTCCAATATTAGGATAGCTATCAGGACTTGCTTAATACTTGCCCTCATCATGGTTTTGAAACATGGAGATTTGTTTCATATTTTTATGAAGGGTTAACACCTAAAGATAGACAAATGGTGGAATTGATGTGCAATGTAACTTTTGAAAATAAAGACCTTGATGAAGCAATGGAGTATCTAGACCTGCTAGCTGAAAATGCTCAAAATTAGGACACTATAGGTACTTATAAGGCACCAAGTAAGACTCAACCTCATATATCTAGTGGAGGTATGCACAACCTTAGAAAAGATTATGACCTCCAAGCTAAATTTGCATCTTTAGCTAGAAAAGTTGAGGTATTAGAATTAAAAAAGAGTGGTTAATTAAAATCTGCTTAAGACATTGTGTGTCAAATTTGTGAAACCAATGAACATTCAACCAATGATTGTCCAACTTTGCCTTCTTTTAAGGAATGTCTCCATTAACAAGCCTATGCTTTAAATAGTTTCCAAAGGCCCAATTATAACCCATACTCACAGACATACAACACTAATTGGAGAAATCATCCAAATTTCAGTTGGAAGAGTGGTAACAACAATGCATAAACTTCATAGCCACCATTTCAAGCAAACTATAATTTTTAAATTTCTCATGGATATGCATCTCTTTATGCTCCACCTCCTAGAAGAAATCTTGAGGAAACATTGCATGCGTTCATTGAAAAGCAGGAGACAATCAACACTCAAAATATTCAAACCATGACATATCTAAAAGATGCTCTTGTAAAATTCACATCTACTTTCAGCTTTTAAGAGAAAGGTAAGTTTCTGCCTCATCCATAGTAAAATCCTAAGGGGCAATACAATGCTAATGCAAGTAGTTCCGCAAACCATCACATGGATCAAGTCAAATCAGTCATCACTTTTTGTAGTGGTAAGGTTATTGAAAAACCCACTCTTGAACCTTATGAGAAAGATGATGAGTTAATCTCCGAGGGTAAAGAAGGGGTTGAAGCTAAACATTGCAAAGAAAAAACTGATTCCCCGCTAGCACTTCTATTTCCACATGCCATGACCAAACAAAGAAAAGTTAATCACAACTCTGAAATCTTTGAAACTTTCAAACAGGTAAGCATCAATATACCTTTGTTGGGTACTATTAAATAAGTACCTTCTTATGCTAAATTTTTAAAAGATCTGTGCACCGTGAAGAGAAAACTGAATGTGAAAAAGAAAGTTTTTTTAGCTGAACAAGTAAGTATCATTCTTCATAACAATAATGCTTTGAAATATAAAGACCTTGGTTGTCTTACAATTTCATGCTTTATTGGAGAACATAAAATTAAAAGAGCTTTACTTGATCTCGGAGCTAGTGTGAATTTACTTCCATATTCAGTCTTTCAAAGTCTTAATCTAGGTGAGTTAAAACCAACTTCTGTAACTCCATTGCTTGCTGGTAGATTTGTAAAAATGCCTAGAGGAATAGTTGAAGATGTGTTAGTACAAGTTGATAAATTCATTTATCCTATAGATTTTATTGTCTTGGATACACAAATGGTTGAAGCATGTAATTTAATTCCTGTTATTTTAGGACGTCCATTTCTTGCAACTTCTAATGCATTGATTAATTGTAGGAATGGACTGATGAAGTTATCATTTGGAAACATGACATTGAAGATGAATATTTTTAACATTTGCAAGCAACCTAGAGATAATAATGATTTACAGGAAGTGGATTTTATTGAAAAATTAGTTCATGATCAATTTGAAACTATTTCCAATGAAATTGAATTTAATGAGTCTAAGAATTTGCAAATGGTTTATTTTCAGGAAGAATCAAAGGCAAGTAATTGGAAACTACAAATTGAAGAGTTGCCATCATGATCAATTGAGTTTATACCTTCATGTGTTCAACCACCAAAACCTAATTTGAAATCGTTACCATTCAGTCTCAAATACTCATTTTTAAGAGAAAATAAAACTTTTCTAGTAATAATTTCTTCCAAACTTAATGCACATCAAGAAGGTAAGTTATTACAAACTTTAAAAATGCACAAAAATGCATTAGGATGGACCATAGTTGATGTAAAAGGAATTAGTCCTTTAAAAATGCACAAAAATACATTAGGATGGACCATAGCTGATATAAAAGGAATTAGTCCTTTGATTTGCACACATAAAATTTATTTAGAGGAAAATGCTAGACCTTTTAGAGAAATGCAATGAAGACTTAATCCTAATATGAAAGAAGTAATGAGGAATGAAGTCATTAAACTTCTAAATAATAAAATCATTTATCCTATTTCTGATAGCAAATGGGTAAGTCCTACCCAAGTTGTACCCAAGAAGTCTAGAGTCACTGTGATAACAATTGAGAAAAATGAGTTAATTCCAAATAGGACTGTTACTGGTTGGCGCATGTGCAATGACTACAGGAAACTTAATTCAATGACTAGAAAAGATCATTTCCCCTTACCTTTCATGAATCAAATCCTAGAAAGAGTTATAAGACATAAATTTTATTGTTTCCTAAATGGCTATTCAGGTTAGAATCAAATTGAAATTGCATTAGAAGATCAAGAGAAGACTACTTTCACATGTCCATTTGGTACTTTTGCATATCAAAAGATGCCGTTTGGATTATGTAATGCACCAGCCACGTTTCAAAGTGCATGCTTAGCATATTTAGTGATATGGTTGAACGTTTTCTTGAAATTTTTATGGATGATTTTTCTGTTTTTGGCGATTCATTTGATAATTATTTGACTAACATAGAAAAGGTTTTGAGTAGGTGTGAAGAGAAGAATCTTATGCTGAATTGAGAAAAATATCATTTATGGTAACAAACGGTATTGCACTTTGTCACATTATTTTATCGAAAGGAATTAAGGTTGACAAATCTAAAATCAAATTAATTGCCAACTTGCCAACACTAAAATCTGTTAAAGATGTTATATCATTCTTAGGACATGCTGGTTTTTATAGAAGGTTCATCAAAGATTTTAGTGTTATATCTAAGTCATTGTGTAAACTTCTAACAAAGAAAAATATTTTTGAATGCACTAAACAATGTTAAAAAGCTTTTGTTAAGCTTAAAAACTTGCTTACTTTTGTTCTTGTCATTCAACCTCCTGATTGGTCATTACCTTTTGACATAATGTGTGACGCCAATGATTATGCCATGGGTACTGTTTTGGGACAAAGAAAAGATAAGAAACCTTATGTGATTTACTATACAAGTAAAACTTTAAATAATACTGAAATGAATCACACCACTACTGAAAAAGAATTACTTACAGTAGTATTTGCATGTGAAAAATTTAGGTCCTATCTTGTCGGCTCACCTCTTGTTGTCTTTAGTGATCATACAACTTTGAAATATCTTCTTTCAAAAAAGGATTATAAGGCTAGACTAGTACGATGGATTTTGTTACTTCAAGAATTTGATATCACAATCAAAGACAAGAAAGACATTGAAAATATTATCG